GATAACATACAAACAGACCTCTAGAATCCCCAAAGTTCGCTGTAAAAACACTTAGCGGATCATGGAGCACCGATAACATACAAACAGACCTCTAGAATCCCAAAAGTGCTCTTTAAACATACTTTGAGGATCATGGGGACTTCAGAAGTAGTGTTACAAGTACCTTAGTTCGGGTTACAAGTAGATTTAACTATACACCCTAAACCCTAAACCCTAAACCCCTAAACCCTATAAACCATAAACCCTGATTACCTTTAAGTAAACAAAGAACACCGTAAGTTCGCAAGACTCCTCCAAAAGATCTTTAGCATCTCAAAAGCCCTCTAACAACGCAAAACTCAACCCCAAACACCCTAATTAGGGTTTAGGGGTTTAGGGTTTAGGATCCCTAAACCCTAAACCCTTAGAGGGTCCTAGTTAGCCAGACTTTTCAAACCAACCAAACAAAAAATCCTCGAAGCCACGGTGGAGAGGTCGAGGAGGTAGCATTCCTCTCCCCGGAGACACTGAGCTTTTTAAGTTCAGGGCTTCGGGTTTAGCGTTTGGGGCTTACGGCTTAGGTAGGGTCTTCAACTTATATGGTTTAAGGTTTGGGTTTAGGGTTTAGGGTTTAGGGTGTAAGGTTGGGGGTTCAAGTTTCAAGGTTTAGGGAGCGCTAGAATGTCGAAGGTGTGACACGATTAAACAAGGCTTTAGAGCATTTAGGGTTTAGGGTTTAGGGTTAAGGGTTTAGGGTTAAGGGTTTAGGGTTAAGGAGTCTGGGGGTTCTTGAATTTGAGGGGTTCCTCGTGAGGATCTTTCTTTGGAACAAGGATCCTACTCTTCAGGGTTCCATACGAGAAGAGCATTCTGAGAGGTCCCAAACCCTAAACCCTATCAACCTTACGACCTAAAACCCTAAACCCCTAACCCTAAACCCTGAAACCTTAAACCCGAAACCCTGAAACCCTAAGAAGAGATCAACCTCCGCTTCCCCCGAGCGTCCGCCGGCGCCACGGACACCAACAGCGCGAAGAGGCAGCTCGTAAAGTTCACTCCTGAGCTCTTCTTTTGAGGTAGGCTTGGGGTTTAGGGTTTAGGGTTCAGGGTTTGGGGTTTAGGGTTTGGGGTTTAGGGTTAAGGGTTTTGGGGTTTAGGATTTCCGGTTTCGGGTTTAGGGTTTAGCAGCACAGGGAAGGGTTCTATCATCAAAGTCTCGAACCCTACTCCCCCTCAACCCTGGACCCTAAACCCCAAGCCCTGCACCCTGAACCCAAACCTAAACTCCTAAACCCTAAACCCCTAAACTCCTAAACCCTGAACCCAAACCTAAACTCCTAAACCCTAAACCCCTAAACTCCTAAACCCTGAACCCTAACCTAAACTCCTTAACCCTAAACTCACGAACTGCCCAGGCACCGGCTGCTCCAACCAATCCCAGGGCACCTGCTTGGAGCTCGGGCAAGGGGCCCCGACGCTCCCAAGTGTGCCCTTTAACCCAGACCCCCAAAAGGATCTAAAACATAGATCCCCTAAGGGGGTTCTTATAAAGTACCCTTTAGTAGTTAGGGTCCCTAATTAGGGGATCTATTTTTGAGATCCTTTTGGGGGTCTGGGAATAGGAGGCTTCAATGAGGTTTAGTAGGGCATGAGGGCCCTTTCATGGGGTCTTAAAGGAACTTCAATAGAGCATAAGGGCACCACTGGCCTTACACCCTAAACGCCGCACGTTGCAGTGTGTTTTGTGTGTGAGGTGGCTCGCGGCTCTTATCCTGGGTTCTTGTTATGTAAGCCTTTAACTTTCCATAATATGGAAACCCCATTATTTACTGTAGATCCCTACTGTGGTAACATAAAGTAAAGTTGTTGAAATGCTTCTCACTGCATGC